TATATGACGTAGCCTAATAAAATTCATATCTAAGTCTTATATAAGTATACATAGCATTTTGAGTCTTTATATAAAAGAATTACTATATTGTTACGATACCGAAATAGTTCCATTAACAGTCTTCTGATTCAATATATATACACCTACGTATCTCCTTCCGGTGGTTCAGCGGTAAGTCTGAGGGCTTATAAGGCAAAACATTGGATTTCCATACTTGCGGTGACCACAGCACAGATAGCCCATTGTTTAGATTTTTTCCTAAAACAAAACAAATACATCTGGTGTTAATACCCGACACCATTGGATGACATCCTGAGTGCGACAATTTTAAAGTGTTGATTTTATCAATAACAAAAAAAAATCAGAATTTTTGTACGAAAGAGGTGACGGTTTGGTTGTTGTTAATGGAAAAGCTACACAATTGGCTATCTGTGTGCCCATCATAGGTATCGAAACCCAAATCTTAGCGTCGTAATCCCACATACTTGCCACTTAGCCATTGGAGGTTATTGAGGGTGTGAAAGCTAAAAAGGTAACCTACAATATTTATAAGAGTATATGACAGGAATACATATCAGTCTCCAGGAAATAAATAGAAATGAAAAATACACCTCAGATAAACAATAGTCTTCCCTTGTTGATTACATTAACAGTAATCAACAATAGTCTTCCCTTGTTGATTACATTAACAGTAATCAACAATAGTCTTCCCTTGTTCATTACATTAACAGTAATCAACAATAATCTTCCCTTGTTGATTACATTAACAGTAATCAACAATAATCTTCCCTTGTTGATTACATTAACAGTAATCAATCTGGGTTAACAGAGAAGACGTTCCGGAGGACTAAATAAGTTATATTTTATATCTTAACCTTGCTAATGTATCCACATTCGTGTAACTTTGTTTGGCACATATCATAAAACCTCGGTCCACATTCCGGAACGTTAACTGATTTAACTGATCTAACATCTCTTTGTTTTGGGGTCTTTTCTCTCTCTCTCTCTCTCTTTCCCGTACCTTGTTTGATAACATGGAACTGAATTTTCTCGTGTCTGTTAACAGTTATTCATTTTAGGAATTTTTCTTAATCTCTAACCAGCATCTGTCAAAAGGTGTCAATTATCTTTGTTATGCCATTTCATTGACAAGACCACACAATACGTTTCTTGACAACAATATGTATTTATATAACAATATATATCTGTATATCAATATGTATCTATATAAAACTCCCAAGATATAAAAACCTCGAATCTTGGTCAGTGGTGAATAATACAGAAACTAAAAGCAATTACGTGTAATATTATCTACCCAGTTGTATTTACATTAAGCATTTTCAACACCTCGGGAGCATTTATAATAAAAAGAGGTCAAAGACAAAGTGGGCTAGACAGCTAATCTCCCCACCCCTCCTCTCCTCACACTCCAGGCCAGTAGAAGCCTGCAAAAAAGTTGACCATTGGTTTTCGTTTTTTACTAGTAACGTATATGAATGCAAAACAAATGTCACAAAACATGCTAATTTGATAAAATTTATCTTAATACGATTGAAAATCATTTACACTCTCTACCATATTCCACCCACTCCGATAAATGTTAATTAATAAATTTGTGTACAGTTTGAGTTTGGTCTGCATGCAAATATCTTATCTAATAAGCAATGGTCATTTTGCTCATTAAAGAAGTATTGTTTCAACATGTAACGAATACGATTATACCTTTACTGCATGGAAACAGTTTTAACTGATATTACACTTTGAAAAGTAAATAAATTTTCGCTTTTCTTTTTCCGCGAAAGTGCTAAACTTTGTTGTTTTTGAAAGATAAAGAATCAAATTACTTTATAGAATTAATTTCCAGATTCACGTGCATTATTAATGGATATTTCTTGTTTGTCTCCACACACACAAAAAGAGCTAAATGAAATATAATTATTTTGGTCGTTCATTAGTTTTCATTAATTAAATCAGTCTATATATTAAGGAACAGTACGAGTTTTGAAAACTACATTTGTGAGGTGCATTAGCACTGATTTATGTTGAAAATATTTTTGTTAGTGAAATAACGAAAGATTGGCACAACAACAACAGAATAAAAAGCGTTTTAAGAAGAGAAGATCCAGCATGTTGTGAGAAAAAAAATCCTTGTTATTTTGTCGAAGTTTCACTACATATAAATGAAACGGTAGTAACGTTGCGGTAGTAGTTTGTTTTGAATTTCGCACAAAGCTACACGAGGACTATCTGCGCTAGCCGTCCCTAATTTAGCAGTGTAAGACTAGAGGGGAAGGCAGCTAGTCATCACCACCCACCGCCAACTCTTGGGCTACTCTTTTTACCAACGAATAGTTGGATTGACCGTCACATATAACGCCCCCACGGCTGAAAGGGCGAGCATGTTTGGTGTGATGGGGATTCGAACCCGCGACCCTCAGATTGTGGTTTTTAAGATAATGTGAGGGTTTAACTTTAAGTTTAGTTCTATCATGAAATCTAGATAAACACTTTAACAGAAACGTCTAATTTAGTTTTTAAACTACAAGGTTTTGTTTCAAACAAGATAATAGGTAATGGTTAATTACGTTCTATTTAGTTAATTAGTAATCCTAACACATCAACTTTGCAACTTTCGTTGTATTCCTCTTCTTAAAATAACGCTAAGAATTATTCAGCTTATTTCAATAACAATTTCACCGTTGTAGAAGCAAGAGGTTTCTAAGCTATGGTTTTAATAGAGTGATGAATACTGAAACCAGACAGAAACTGGAATAATTTAAAATGAGAAATTTCAAACTCGGCAACTGTTTAAAGCATGTGGATTCCACGAGTTGTCGTTAATTAAGAATTCCGTATATTTCAGTCCTATGATTACGTTCTGAAATTTTCAATTATAACTCTCCCTAACGTTCAACTGGTACATAAACCAGACATCATAATAGATTCAATATATTTAACAAAGTGACTAGTCCAATACTGAATCCATTAATTTTTATATTAAAACCATAATACACCCTGCAGAAATACCATAGAAAAGCTGCAAATTCCCAAATAACTGCAAATTCCCAAATAACTGCAAATTCCCAAATAACTGCAAATTCCCAAATAACTGCATATTCCCAAATAACTGCATATTCCCAAATAACTGCAAATTCCCAAATAACTGCAAATTCCCAAATAACTGCAAATTCCCCTTAAATATGAATCCTTTAATTAAGACAGAAGTTTAAGGTCGGTTTTCATTTAGAGAGTATTTCACTAGTAAAACTAAGAGTTTTTCAAGTAGAAACATTTAGCTCATAGCTCCATCTCTTGACCGATTTCAGATATAATTACAGCCGCGGCGATTGAGAATTCCCTCTTGTTTTTGTAGTGAAAAAGGGAGCCTCTTGATTAGTTTTGTTTGTTTGTAATTAAGCACAAAGCTACACGATGGGCTATCTGTGCTCTGCCCACCACGGGCATCGAAATCCGGATTTTAGCGTTGCAAGTCCGCAGATATTCCACTGTGCCACTGGGGAGGGGGCGTCTTGATGAGTACTGTGCAGAAAATAGTTGCTGTTATTATGTTGTTGTTTTTTTGTATATATCAGTTTAAAGAACTGCGTTCCGTAGTTTATTTTCTTTTCTTATTTATTTCCTCCAATTATTTTCACATGAACCGGACCAGCTGTAACAAAAATATTATCACATGATCAGTATAGGTCATTGTATAAGATATAAAGTACAGTGACGTCAAAAGTAATGTCTTACTTTTTATATAATACTAACAAACATAACCGAGTTTCGTATGGCACTTGAAACACTTGGATGGCGAGATGGCATGCTTGTAAATCATTCACCTGTATCGTTGGATGGCAGGATGGCATGCTTGTAAATCATTTACCTGTATCGTTGGGTGGCGGGATGGCATGCTTGTAAATCATTCACCTGTATAGTTGAATGGCAGGATGGCATGCTTGTAAATCATTCACCTGTTTCGTTGGATGGCAGGATGGTATGCTTGTAAATCATTTACCTGTATCGTTGGGTGGCGGGATGGCATGCTTGTAAATCATTCCCCTGTTTCGTTGGATGGCGGGATGACATGTTTTAACTCTTTTATTTGACGTCAGTTTTATGTAGTATAAATTAAAATGACTGCTAATCAGTATCCTTTGTCTGGTTACTTATTTCATTTAAATTCGATCTCTGGGGGTCCACCTAAGATTATCTGTCAAACTTTATCGGGATTAGTTCAACCAGCAACAACTTGTGACGTCAAGAACCTCAGAAGGGAAATTCTGCTGTAAGCTAAGAAATCGGTTAACGAGAAATTAATTTAAAATAATTTTAAAAGTTGAAAATTTAGGGTTGCATAATATATATATATACGTACAGGTAGATAGGTTAGCCATTTAAATTTCTACTTTCGAATTCTCTCACCAAACACGCTCGCCCTTTCAGCCATAGAAGCATTATAATGTGCCGATGAATCCCACTATTCGATTAGAGTAGCCCAAGGGTTGACGGTGGGTGGCGTTGATTATCCACCTTCCCTCTAGTCTATCACTTCATAATTAGAGACAATTAGCGCAGATAGCCTTTGAGTAACTTCGCGCGAAATTCGACAAAATGGAGCTTGTTATAATACTTATCAAAATTGCTAAGAAATCCACCAAAATTGTATATGTATGGAACCCTTCTCCAGATTGTCGCGTCACCTAAATTCCTAGGTATAACATATGACTTTAGATTAAACTGGAAAACCCATATTAATCAGATCTCAACCAAAACGTGGAGACGCGCAAACAAAGTCAAGAGCCTGTCAGATAACAACTCAAGAACCTCACCACAGAATACTATTAAAATATATATACAAGCAATACGTACAACCAATAATCAAATATGCCAGTCCAGCACGAAACCTAATAAAAAGACAACTGAAACCAATACAACACTCGATAGTCACTGCAGCGTATAAAGTACCAAGAACCACAAACTCAGATTTCCTAGACAAGTATACAGACAATAAACGACAGGCTCTTACAGCGCTTAAATAACTATTTTCCAAAAAAACCTAAATAACAACGAGTTACTGACGTCACCGTCTCGCCTGACGTCACTGTCTCGCTATATCATACATGATGAAAATATGCCCAAGTTCCTCTCTCTAGTTAATATTTACTTTAAGAGTAACAACAAGCCACCTAGTGCTAGACTTTGAATAAAAATATTAATTAACTAGTTTATAATAAAAGTATTAATTAACTAGTTTATAATAAAAGTATTAATTAACTAGTTTATAATAAAAGTATTAATTAACTAGTTTATAATAAAAGTATTAATTAGAGCATTTATGTCTAATACTCTTACTATAGATTATAAAATGAATGTGTCGCGATATATGGAACTGTTTGTCATGTGTAGGAGTATACACACCAAGCTAATAATAGTATATTCCAACATAAAAGTACCCCAGTGGCACAGTGGTATGTCTGCGGACTTAAAACGCTAGAATCCGGGTTTTGATACACGTGGTGGGCAGAGCACAAATAGCCCATTGTGTAGCTTTGTGCTTGATTACAAACCGACATAAAATGCTATACGTGGTATATGAATGGACATGGCTATGAAAAAGGTGGTCGAAACTAATACCTGTAAAAGGTGCACAACCCTCACATATACTTCGTCTAGCATTTATCAGACACCATGGTGCACTGTGCTGGAGGGAGGAAGAGGTCTTTGAAAGAACCTGATCCTCCCGGATCCGAACGAAAGGATCTAAAGCCCTACCCAGATCCGCAGCTATCAAAAATAAATTATTTGATTATTTATTGGATTTGTCAAATCAAATAAGTATTCAATTACGAAATAATCATCTCCAAGTACCATTTGTTACACCTCGTTTCTTTTCCTACACGCCAGTCAATAATCAAAATGATATGCCAGTCAATAATCAAAATGATATTTAAATTTTGACCGACTCATATACAAAATCTATAAATTAATATTTGATTTTATTCAAATGATAGTCAACATACCAAAACTAGGCATTTCGAAGTGGGTATATGACTTAGACTTTAATTTAATTTGTTGCGGATTAAACATTTTCCATTTTATTTGTCAATGTGATATGGTTTGGTTAGAGATTAGTATTGGTGGTTAGACTGACTTTCTCTTTCCAAGGTATGATTATGTCAATGTGATATGGTTTGGTTAGAGATTAGTATTGGTGGTTAGACTGACTTTCCCTTTCCAAGGTATGATTATGTCAATGTGATATGGTTTTAGATATTAGTATTGGTGGTTAGACTGACTTTCCCTTTCCAAGGTATGATTATGTCAATGTGATATGGTTTGGTTAGAGATTAGTATTGGTGGTTAGTCTGACTTTCCCTTTCCAAGGTATGATTATGTCAATGTGATATGGTTTGGTTAGAGATTAGTATTGGTGGTTAGACTGACTTTCCCTTTCCAAGGTATGATTATGTCAATGTGATATGATAAAGATATGCAGTCGTACAATCACTAGTGTTGACACATGCACGTGAAGTTGGTGATGGTCAGAACTTTCTTCTAATGGATTATAACGTGACCATCTGTTTAGCAATTTATTGGAAGAACAGGATATAGAGCGAATGAACAGGCCCAGTGACTTATCGGAGTTTACTCCATCTGAACATGTATACAATACTCTGAGAAAATACCTGCAGTTCTTATTTCATTTCCCAGAAGTGTTGGTGAACTGGAACACAGCTCTGATTGAAAAATGAACCGTACTAACATACCCTGAGAAGATGCTTGACATCACGTGATTCATTTCCAACCAGAGTGCATGAACTGGAACACAGCTCTGATTGAAAAATGGACCGTATTAACAAATCCTGGGAAGATGATTGGTATCACGTGATTCATTTCCAACCAGAGTTGATGAACTGGAACACAGCTCTGATCGAAATATGAACCGTACTAACATACCCTAGGAAGATGATTGGTATCACATGGTTCATTTTCAAGCAATGTAGATGAACTGTAACACAGCTCTGATCGAAAAATGGATCGTACTAACATACACTCAGAAGATGCTTGGCATCACGTGGTTCATTTTACGTAATGTAGATGAACTGGAAAGCATTTCAGGTCGAAAGGTGAAACATATTGCCCAAGAAATTCATTGAATCACTCATTTTAAGCTTACCTCATAGACACGACATGTGCTAGTGTCCGAGATGGTCATATTTCATGTTAGCAAACATGTTCTCGTCATTTATTGGGCATTTAGTATCAAATAAACCAAATGAACATGGACTTTAATAATAAAAATGGGCATGTGTGTCATTTGTATTATATACTAGCTAGAGTACCCGTCCCCTGGACGGAAGTTATGTAAATTCACGATTAATGAAATGTTATCTTTGCACATTAAAAGTTGCTTTCCTTATATGTAATTGTAAGAAACGCTCATAAAAACTGCATGGACCCAACAAACATTCGTGCCATATTTTGTGAAGATCCATCAACAGGGGGGGCGAAGTAGTGGTAAAAACCGCAAAACTGAAAATTTGTATGTATCTCCCCATTGTACTTAATGAATCTCCATACCAAATTTGGTGAAGATCCATCCACAGGAGGTGAGGTAATGGTAAAAAAAAACGCTCATAAAAACCGCAAAATGCAAAACTGAAAAATTTATATGTCTCTCCCCATAGACCCTTTAAACCTCCATACCAAATTTGGTGAAGATCCATCAACAGGGGGCGAAGTAGTGATAAAAAACGCCTATTAAAAGCGCAAAACGCAAAAAGAAAAACTGAATCTTTGTAGTTTTATTATATATCATACCAATGTTATGAATGTCTATTGTTTGACCAGGATCAAGTGTTCGTGTATTTATTAACAAATAATTTATGTTAAATATAGCATATTCCCTTTCAAACAGTGTAGTTTGATATCAGACAAAATAATGGAAGTATGAGGGTAGAACGAACATTATTTATGTTAATCATAACGTTTTTAACATCATACGTAATGTATAAACCTTATTTGACTGGAATAAATAAGATAACAATGGGAATAGGTCGCGAATTCTCTCGTGGTTACTGTGTCAAATACTGCTTTATGTTAGAAAACGTTTTTTATTTTATTTTAGTTATTAATAAAATAAATCCAAATTTATTTTAGGATTTGGACTACCAAGAACCGATCCCAGCTTAGTCATTTTGAATAAATGTACAGTTCTTTGTTTGAATTTCGCGAAAAGCTACACAAGGGCTATCTGCGCTAGCCGTCTCTAATTTAGTAGTAAAAGACTAGAAGGAAGGTAGCTAGTAATCACCACCAACCGCCAACTCTTGGGCTATTCTTTTACCAACGAATAGTAGAATTGACCGTCACATTATAACGCCTACACGGCCGAAAGAGCGAGCACGTTTGGTTGGACGGGGATTCGAACACGCGACTCTCAGATTGCGAATCGATCGCTCTAACCACCTGGCCATGCCGGGCCTAGTGTTCTTTATAAAAAATAAAATTAAATCATGTTTTTAAAGCCTTTTAAATTACCTAACATTTAAAAACACTGGTGACTGAACAATAGTACAATGTTCGAATTTGAATGTTTATTACTCTTACACCTGGATTTCCCTACTGGAAATGCTTGTTGTTAGATTAGAATTTTACTGCAAACAACAAGCACGTTTACTTTTGTTCAATATTTACAATAAGTTTATAATATACATTAGCTTCTACATTTATATTATAATTTTACTGCAAACAACAAGCACGTTTACTTTTGTTCAATATTTACAATAAGTTTATAATATACATTAGCTTCTACATTTACTAAAATAATAATAATATATAAATATTATATTTGTATATATATATATAATAATGCATTAATAAAAATAATGTATTTCAAAATGAGCACGCTAAGCAAGTTTATTTATTCACAAATATAATGATAAATCTCCACTTGTTGCCTTTGTCCTTGGTTCAATGTAGACAAGCTTAGCCCACCGGCTAGCGTTTAATATCCCGAGGCAAAACTTTCTGTAAAATGTTTGGAATATCAAACATTTAACCAAATAAACTCACGATTCCGTGACAAAAACAACAAAAAAAAACAAAAAACATCTGGTTGTTATTCAAAAGCTGATTAGTTATCAATAGCTTCTAACATCGTGATTAATAGGAAGAATTTGGATGTTGAGCCTTAAATAGTGATGACTTGCTAAAGACGCCACCTTTGTTGGAAAGAGTGTGTTCAAGGACAGTTTAGAACAACGCTTTAGATGGTAATATCTGACAGGATTTAATAAGACTGGTTTTAAAGAAACTAAGCTGTCTCCAACTCTTTATTTTTTTTTTGGCTTCGTTAATATTTGTACGGACGGTATATATTCCCTGTAGGAAGAAGCATTGTGCATAGTTTATTTAGTGTCGATAAAAACAATTTAATGTCACAGAAGTGAAATCAGTACACATGGGGGCAATATATGTGTATAAAAATTAATACATAACATTTTCTCGTAAAAGAAATACACTTCGGTTTTAAATTTATTAAATGTTAGCATAATTCAGGAAATTATACAGGGTGTCCTAGAAGTCTGAACCCATAGGGAAAAATACATAATTTATTATTCAAATTCCATGCTATTAAGAACCATACACATATCAATTCGTGGTATATTATGACATCAGGGTATTTTATTTCCTGAATTATGTACAACTGACATTAGAAATGTGTTTGTTGAGCTTTAAGAATATAATGTCTATTTTCTGTTGTCTTTCAAAATCTGTTGTACGTATTGGAAAGATTTACAACATTTTGACAAAAAGTTTAGAGAAACGACCTTTATATTCCAGATATATATATATATATAAGGATTTTTTTAACCACCGTTTCGCTTCATCGGGGTTAATAAACACAACATATTAACCACGTAGAAGCCGCAAAGACGAACGTTGGTTAAAAACATTATGTGTATCTGGAATATCAAGGTAGTTCTTTTTAAACTTTTTATCAAA